AACACCTTGTATAGTCCAAATCTGGAATATACGTATATCCTGAGGATATACTAATTTGTAGCATAAAACATCCCTTGGATGTCCTGAAGATAAACTGTTTTTGCCATAATATCGGACACCTTCAGATTGTCCTGAGGATAGCCTATAATCCAAATCGTACAAATCCCTTGAACATCCTTTGGGACATATGTACATACTTCTAATATCCTGAGGAGTGGTTTGTGTTATTTGGTTATTACAGGAGACCAGAAAGGTATAAATTAAATAGTTCTAGAGTGCTTTTTACTCTTTATTAAGGCAGTAAGCGAATTCAAACAAATAACAGCAGTTAATAATCTTGTCTGTGAGATTGGATGTGTTTGCACGCCTAGACTTCTGGTGTCGAAGAATGCTGTTTGACTTCATTTGATAGGATTTTTTATTAATACTTAATAAACAGTAAAAACATGTCAGAGCTATTAATAGAATATCCTAGAATTTCTAGAACTTGCTGATTTTCTCTAATAAATTCTCATATTGGTCCTTCTCTACAGCATCCATTATCTTACTAGCAATCTCAACCCCTATGTAACCGCACCATTCTGCAGTTATTTGAGGCCCTGTAGGATACGCTATACCTATTTAATTTGTGTACATATCCAGCGATAGTATAATGAAAAGTTGCACCGTCTTGCTCAATACTAACTATGCCATCAAAGGGCAACAAATCAGGGCGCTATTAGTGAACAAGATAAACACAACGCCATGGAATTATAGTTCTTCGAGGCGCATTAACATAATAACAAGCTTCGCCTGCACAGAATGGCGTCTTCCCGACTTAATTGGAGCGAGAAACAAAGGAAACTTTGAAACAAATTGCTCTCAATAAGAAAAACAACTCCTTGCCTCGCTGTTGTTTCAGTTACTGTGCATGTCCCGCCTCAACAAGTGTTCCGATTGTAATGACTATTTATTTTTAGGTATTTATTAGTTTTTATTTAATCTGGAAAATAGAATAATTTAATTATTAAAAAGAAAAAATGATAAATGTCTGATTCTGAGATAAAATTAGTAGAAATTCATTTATAGGATCATTTCAATAGTGACGCATTTTAGATCATAATACAGTCCTGTAGGTATAAGCAAAGCGAAATATCTCAAATATACAAAGTGTTCTATAATTAGCCTAACAAATTTGTTATAGATGTAACATTAAAAAAGTTCTAATAAATATAGGTTCGAAAATTCTTTTCTAGGAAGCTATTTGTTGAAAGTACACTTTTGATAAGGCTATTTATTTAGTACTCCCAAAACTTTAGTGACACTAGAAATAAATAAATGAAATTTTTGAAATGCCTAGACAATCATATAATGATTTTGATATAGATCAGAATTGATGCAGTAAGATTAAAAAGCGTACAACTGTGTTTATAAAAGAACAAGTCTTTCTCAGACTCGCAGTCAGGGCCCATTTAAGAAGCATTTTCGGACTTCTCTATGAGAAATGTAGAGATTAAATTTGGCACTTACATAGTACGTCCTAACGAGGTCCAATAAGAACTTTTGTAAGAAAACGTAACATTTGTAAACTTTGCGATAAAAAAATCAATTCACAGAAAGGTAATTGTAGTTCTTACCTCCCGTTCTTCATTTTCAAAAGTAATTTTAGAATGATTGATATTTATTTATTTTATTATTTATTTATATCGAAGACATTTTCGAGGTATGCAGTAAAACTATTATGATGATATCGGAATTAAATAAAAAATGGAAGTATACTCTGAAAAATTATTAATTTGAATCTTAATTTGAAATGTTGTCAATATATGGCGAAGGCGCTGGGTGTAAAAAAACTAATTCACTTGACTTTTTTTAAATAGCAAATACATAACAATACATTTCATATTTCAAATACTTCCACTACTGCTGGAAGTGGTACATATGAATTAAAATTTCGCAATTTAAAATATACAGGGTGAGGCAAAGTTTGGAACAATGCTGTTCTAAGTAGGTTCGGAGATATCTACCAACATGTTTCTAAATATGCAGTTCAACTGAAACTTCGATTATTTTTTACAATTTGATGAAAATACATATACAGTGTGTCCCAAAAGTATGGAAACAGCACAATAACTTTCGAAAAATGCATTTTGAGGAAAAATGATTCGGACAAAAGATTTAGGTTTTTTCCCTGGCTATTCAATGGTGACCTTAGATTTGACCTTGATCTTGACCTTCAAGGTTATTTCAAGGTCAAGTTATTTTTTTCAAATGGGATGCCCTACTTTTGACCCCGGAAATGAAAAGAACGGAAAATTTTACGTTCAGATATGTCCTTGACCATTTTCCGAATTTGACCTCTGATGGTCATTAAAGGTCAAATCAAGGTCACGCATGGTTTGGCGCGCTGTCTTGAAAACAACGGGTTGCAAAAAAATGACCATAACTAACGTTGTAGGATTTTTCCCTGGCTATGTAACGGTGACCCTTGATTTGACCGTGACCTTCACCTTCAAAAACCGCACTATATCAATTAAATCGCGTCCGCCATCTTGGATCCGCCATATTGGACTAAAATTCCTCAAGAACAGATTTCAGATTCGTAATCAGCGACCCCAAAAACCCTCCTATACCAAATTTGGCGTAAATCGATTAATTTTTTGGAACCGCGTTCGCCATCTTGGATCCGCCATCTTGGACTAAAATTCCTCAAAAACAGATTTCAGATTCGTAGTCAGCGACCCCAAAAACCCCCCTATATCGAATTTGGCGTAAATCGGTTAATTATTTGGAATCGCGTCCGCCATCTTGGATCCGCCATCTTGGAAAATGGTCAAGGACATATCTGCACGTAAAATTTTCCGCTCTTTTCATTTCCGGGGTCAAAAGTAGGGCATCCCGTTTGAAAAAATTAACTTGACTTTGAAATAACCTTGAAGGTCAAGGTCAAGCTCAAATCTAGGGTCACCATTGAATAGCCAGGGAAAAATCCTAAATTTTTGTCAGAATCATTTTTCCTCAAAATGCATTTTTCGAAAGTTATTGTGCTATTTCCATACTTTTGGGACACGTATATTTTCGTTGTTATGCCAACGAACATTTTTTATTGTAAATTATTAAAGTAATAATGTCTTACTGCAGCAATAAAAAGTTTACCTACTTAAGAAAATTATCGAAAAAATAAAATTTTGTACTCTAATCTATTTTTTTATTAAAATTTGAATAATTATGGAAATTCAAATCTCACCTGGTATTTATGTCTTATAGAGTTCATATAAATCATTTTCAGCAATTCAAAGAATTTTTCGATAAAAGGAACTTTGACAAGCGGTTCACGTGAAAAAATCATTCAGTTCTGAGCATTCTTTAAAGCAATACAAAAATATATTGTTAAAATAACACAAGTTAATTTTGAGATTCAGACTTCATTTTTAATGCAACTGCTTTGCTGTTTTTCTAAATTAAAGTATTATCGTTATTTTAAAGGAATAAAAACAATTGTAGGTGGTTAATAGTTGAAGATATATTATTATTATTATTATTATTTATTTTTATATCAACCAGAGCAACTAAATTTAAAAATATTTCCACAACACCACCTACGACCTAAAACTAATTTTGATGTAGATAATAACTTTTATTCACAAAAATAAAATCATTAACAATACTGATTATGTTTATAAAATTATTTTATATATTGCTGGAATTGATAAAAACTAAATATATAAAGTATCATGGTTTTTCTGGTTGTTATGTTGTAGGCTATGTACATACCTGGTCGCCACCAGCTACGCACGTACTTTGTACTAGGTTCTCGGGCTAGTCTCTGTGGGGGAGAACTGGCTATTAAAACCTCTAGGCCAGCACTGATTGTTTTTGGTTCTTGTTGTAGGTTCTAAGGCCGCTATGGACAGAACTACATCTCAGACAATGAATGTCCTCTAAGACATTCCGCACTAGCCACTGTAATTGATAGCATCAACCCGAAAAACCATCGTATTTTAAGAATAGGGGAATATTTATTTTTCCCATTTCCGTAAATGCAACTAGATACTTTACTTGCTATATTAAAACGTGGTATCTATACCAACATAACAAGTTTTATTCGTTTTAAAGTTATCTAGAAACAACTAAAAATTTAAAACGCCATCTAGTGACAAAACGAGGCACGAGGTATAAAGATAGTTGTGTTAAAATAGCATATTTTGGGGTATGTAACGATTCATTTACGAATCACTATGTATATATACTTTTTTCGATATATTTGGATTATATTAGTACGGTAAGTATTATGGAATTTTAAACGAACCACCCTGTATATTTTAATTTACCTTAGAACTAGTAATTCTATTTTACGTTGCTACAAGCAGTAACTATATTCGTATACTTTGGTGTTGTATAGAATTAGCAGCTTTGCAACTAATTTTTTAATGCACACATAACACTAGATATGAGGTTACTAGTAACAGTAACAGATCTAGATCAGGGTTGATATTTTCGACGTATTATCCATTTTTATCTCGCTTTAAGCGGATTACACAATTAAACTGCAGTTAAAGCAGCTGGAATTACGTTTCTCTAAACGTCGGGCAGAAAAAAGTTGTTTGCGTGTCGGCAGATAAAATAAACAGCGAACCATCAAGACAGCGGGGTAAATTAATAAACTCTGCAAACCGCTAGCATCTGTTTGCGTGGCGCTAGGCAAACAACGGCCGGCTAGAGCAAACAAATTACATATGCATCAATCCAGTGGGCCGAGTACATAGCCCGCAGACCTGGAACGGGGATAGGAATCCGGGAGAATACCCGGAGTATCCCGGAGTATCGACCGTGATGCTCTTATCTACCCACCACTGGCGTGGCATCAATGTAGGCGTGTCCATGCGCAGATAATTGCGCACAGACAAAAGAAAAACGCACGACTTACGCCGATTGAATAGCTATCTCCCCAGGTGGAAACAAACGAGAGAAACAAAAGAGCGCCGAGGAGTCTTTTATTCTGTCGTACGCTAACCGCGATCCAAATCAAAAATTACAGCACAGTCGCCTCGGAGAAGTGATAAAACATGACAGCGAATAGAGGCCTCTGATTGGTCTGAGCGTATATGAAAAAAGACGATCGTGATTCTTATTATCTCCGTCCATAGCCGTCTTGACTTTGTCGTACTATGTGTTAGTTCATGATATGAAGACGGTTGAGATTTCAGTGATTTTTCTTGACACTTCCTGAGTTTCTACAATGAGATCTAAATCTGTTGCGCGTAGAGTCACAGCTCAAGGTAGGAGTTTTTTCTTATGATCAATTTTAAATGACGACGGGCACACGCTTTATGTTTTTATAATAAAAAGTGACAGGGCGCCTTCATAAAAAGTCGACTACACATTAACCGACGGAGAATATATTATTTGATTATCCGTAAAATAAATATAAAAGTTATTATTAAATTGCCAAATATTCGTAACAGTTCCTATGTATATTGTTACAATATAGATTTATATTGTTAAAAAGGTCAGACAATTAAATACTATTGTGTAGTCCAATGTCTACACAAAATTAAATGAATTGTTAACAAAAATCTTAACGGACATAAGGCTAGTAATAAATTTTAGTAAAAATTCAGCAGCTGTCAGTCACTTTCCAATATATATATATGCATACCTATAATATGTAGGTAATACAATGATATAACTGCTTACCTATCTAAATCTTTGGCTGTATTGAATTATCTTATTTTCCATTCCTATGTATCACAACATCAAAATAGATAGGATAAACACCTGCACTTATTTAAATAGATGCTTACTGAATTTTCATATGGTTTTATTGTTAGTGAAGCAATTGAAAAATATTTTTAACAATAATAACAATTCAAATAATTTATTGCTACTGCAAAACTGGAAGTCATATTAGGAGACCCCTTTAATAAAAAGCAGAATATAAGAGTATTCTCTAATATTCATAATTAAAATAAATCTTCTTCGTATTAGAAAATTATCAGCTTGAATTTTTGTGATGGTTTATCAGTAAATATATACCTACCTACGTTCAATTGATAGAACATAGCTTAAACAATATTTATACGGGTGCAACTAAAATGTTTGTCAAACTTTAATGATTGCTTCGTTGTCGAAATACGATGCATTTAAAGTTAATGGAAATATATCGTCAATTTCAAGTGATGTACACTTGCTATTCTATCGTTACCTATTTTTTTGATAATTATTATTTATTAATAGTATAATTCTGGTATAATTCAATGCCAGTAGTTCATAGGGTAGTTATTTCCTGTAATATCAGTAGTTAGACATTTTGTATGTTGGTTTAGATATCTTTTGCATACATAGATTTCTGGTATCGAAGGATATTGTTTAATTTTATTTCATAGGATTAAAAGAAATAGGATTTGTTTAATTTTTTTTATTTTTAACATCATGATCTCGACAGCATTTTCGAATGTTATGTGAATTTTTTGTTAAGTTGTGAGATGGTATCTACCCTCCATTAAAATGTGGTTAACCATTTTATTTACACCCTGTACGAGATGGCACGGGAACAATTTTATGGAATGAAAAATATTAACTATTATTATTTCATACGATATTCAAATGATTCGTAAGAAGTAGACGTATGGTACGAAAATATATTTGGCAAATTTCCAAGTTACACCTTGAAGCTAAAATAAGCTTGGTTGTTGGTATTTCTATTAAGATACTTCTGCAAATTAGACTTAGACATATAGGTACATTTTTCAGGGAAATGACATACCTAAATGCATGTCTTCAAAAAGTTTATCAAGACTTGTAAAATGTCTACACGTGTCTGCCGTCTATACACTTAATTATGCTGCAGCATACTTTCGGTCACAACGAAATGTTATACTTGCTCGCCAGCTCGCATCTATTACTTGAATAATAACAATATTTCACTTATTTGTTTACTAATACATCACTTAAATTATAAACGACGCGCACATCATAAAATCTAAAATTAGAATATGACCTCAATGTTCTGAAATAGTCTGTCTTGGAATCGTTATCCTCATATGTTATCGATTGTATAAACAGAGAGTAAACTTGTACGGGTAAATTAAATACGGTTGTTTGACTAACAAGAAGAAAGTCGGGCATATGTTTGGATACATTACATCTTCAGGAATTTTTATTTGAGTATTCAAAACTGTGGTGAAATTTATTAAAAATAATACAAGTATTTGGGTGTAACAAACCAACAAAGCAGCGGGGAGTAAATTAAACTAGTTGTTCAGAAGAAGAAATTTCATACTAAAACAATGTTCAAAACTGTGGCGAAATTTCGCTGATACGTCTGTTTTTAACTCGTTAAAGCTAAAGCGCAATATTTTCTAGAAATCATCTATTCTTGATACGGCGCAAATCCTGCTGTGCCTGCAGCAGGAGTGATCTTATAGGCCTGCGGATGGGTAGCGAAGACACTCCCATTTGTTCCTGCCTATGTTCGAGAGATAACTGCGGTGAAGACGAGTCACAATTGCGCGCACATTATCCTGGAGGCGTGGTTTCAGGAAAATTGTATAGGCATGGCAGGAGTGGAAAATACGATCATTATTCCACTATTTCAGCTGAATATTTATTAAGCTTCTGTCCAGTAATTTTCTTTAAGATGTGAAGTAATATTGTTAGCACTATTTTTAGTTCACTCCAACTGTCTGTGAAGAAAAACAAATATATATTTAAAGTACATTCATACGTAGTAATTACTTTGTCTAAAATGTTTTAACATTAATCTTTATTTGGAAAAGTCATCGGTTGCTTATACATTAAGACAAATCTTGTGTTATTAATAGCAGATATTTTGGGAACTTGAAAATGACATTCAAGGAAAAATTGCACTATAGACATCGTTTTAAGTTTTATTCGTTGTTAAAATAATATTTTGGTAAACACAACCACCTTTGGATTGTTTTAGTTCTTAATTTTAAATCACGCAAGGAAAAAAAAAGAATTGTATAGTCAAGTAAATATATTTTGTAAATTTAAATACATACAATTTACTCAATACATATTTGATGCAGGCTATTTTTTAATTCAATAAAATATTTCTCTTGTTTGACACACTGATAAAAATTTTATGTAAAAATACACACTGGATAATGTAAAATTACATCATACACTGAAAAAAGGATTTATTTGGACTAAATAAATATCGTTTGCCGTGAACTATTCCTAGTTTTGGATATTGCCTAGCATATATATTGTGAAAAGTAACTAATAATAAGTTCATAGTTTTGTAATAAATCTTATTTGAATGTTAATTTATTTCTAGTGTAATATCACATTTCGCCTCTTTATTATTAATCTACATATTTTAAGATGTAGATGACATAAGATTATTAGAAATATATCTTAGATTAATGTGAACTACCTAACAGTTTTTCAGTGAAAATAGGTTATTTTAATATTAATAAATGAATGGTTTATAAAAAGTGAATTGTTTTTTTCGCTAAAATTGGACGTATTTCTTTCTTGATTTGTCTCAAAATTATGTACTTTCTCAAATTTAATTAAACTGATAATTAGATAACTTACCTAACTAAGTTTATAATTTTTGAAATGGTACATAGTGTTGAGATCTACTAATAGAGAAGCACATACGAGTATATACGATACTTTTATTCGAACATTTCATTTTTGCTAAAAATTAATTTTAAGATTTGTATTTTCCGAACTTATTACATACATGCATATATCGATCAAAACTACTTGTTGACAGTTTAATGATTAAAAATAATTGGCGGATTGTTAAATTGGGTTTTATTATAAATTTATGAAACTACAACAGCAACACTATGTCCTTATTTAAAACTGACTTTTTGACGATTATTACTTGTTTGACCCTAACTTCCACAGTTTCTGCATCCATTTTAATGATGAGTAAACGGAACACAGCACACAGCACTCTGTAACTATATGCACATGTTATATTATGAATATGATCTAAGAACAACAAGAAACACTACCTTTTGATATACTCGTAGTCCATACCGAGGTCCATTACTAGCCTACTGAACTACACAATACACTACAGGCACCTTGCATACATAGTCGCCATGATGGCGAAGATACGACTGGGAGAACACAACTTGGTCACGTGATTGGAATAATTTTTAAATAATATATTTTACTATTGAACTGATAATAGTTTTAAACTATATAAAAATTTAACTTTTATAACCAGCTGGTTCACATTTAAGAAATTATATATTTGGATTAATTTTCCTTTAAACTTTAATTGTAACGTTTGATAGGCCAATCATACAGTATACAGTAAGCTTGTAATTCTACACTTTGTGTGTAATTTTCCCAAAATGTAGAGTAAATTATAAATTTCTGAATAACCTATAGATAAATAATACAGATATTTATTTAAACCAATGAATTAAACACTTTTATTAAAATAATAATTTGAAATAACGAGGTTAGTAAAGATTAAAAATACTTTTAAAGAAGTATCTGTAAAAGACCTCCTACTTATTTAGGGGACAAAGTATATACTTAATATACTGGAAGTAAAACAATAAATAAAATATGTCCTAAATAGTAAGCTACAACCTGAATGCCTACGTATAAATGTTAGGCAAAGTTCAATATTGTTATTATTGACGTTTCCCACATTCTTCGAAAACTCTAAATGAATACCTATTTCGAGATATTTATATAATTTTTACAAAGTCTTATTATGTGATCACGTGATTAATCTGATTGGTCGAGCCAAATCAGGTTATAAAATTCACATTTTTATTATTATATTTACATCAAATATAGGTAGTAAAACCACAAAAAGGTAAGAATACGTCGCAAAAAGAAAATATACACCCAATATTACAAAATACTAACGCTTAGATTTTTTTCTTGAAAATACTATGTAGTTTGCCTGTCTGTTAGAAAAGTTCCATCTGAGGTGTTGTAAATATACATATATCGATAATGTAAATTATTAATTTAAAACAATACTTATTTCAATTGTTCAAAATGACCTCCATTTGCTTCCAAAAACAGCTCTGTTTATCATTCCCTCTCTACAAACACTTTCTAGTGTTTCTTCATTTAATATCCGACATTCTACTCTTATTCTGTTTTTAAGGTCGTTCAAGGTCAAAAAGGAAATCTATAGGAGTGAAATCTGGAGATATAGCAGGCCATTTAACATGTTTGTCGAATGTTCTTCATCTCTTGCTCTTCTGGGTTTAAAAACTCTTCTTTTCTTTTGAAAACTTCCATCGGCCGCCAAATTCCTGGCTAA